AGATATAATCTAGGTTAAGGCTTTTATGTCCAACAGATGGCGCTACGAGTACGACGCCCTAAGTTTGCTTTTCTGTGAGGCATTATGCTTTTCTGTGAAAATGAACTAAAGCAGATCATCTTCTATCTATTTATATAAATAAAAATGTAATGTTCATTTGTTCCTACCGATTCCTTTGAAATTTTGACACAACGCTGCATTCGAATACGCACGTGTTTTTATATAATACACATTTCGAAATTCAAACCCACTGAAGGGAGATGGTTAGGATTAAGGCTTACCGTGAAGAACTTGGCTTCTATTATACTATTTTAGATGCAGGTTTTTGCGTTTTTAATAGCATACGTCAAGAGAATGTACACTAAGAAGAAATTTTTCGAAAAATCCTCCCCACGGGGGAAGTGTTATAAATTTATAATAGATACATTTTGAGCCAAAACAACGCGTGGCGGGGTCTGCTAGTTTTTATTATATTTTCAATTGGGCAATATACTATTTAAATCTTTCTTAAATATAATTGTAATATGCTAAAAGAACTAGTATGATTCCAGTAGCAATATAAATAAATATAATATAATTAATGCTTACAGCTATTTAAAAAAAATATTTATCTTAAAGCTACTGTTTGCATTTCAATTTAATTGTTAATTATGGAATTTTTGTCTGCAGTCTTCATGAATAATGAGGCCCACCCGTGGCCAAGCAGTCTTCATACCCTGAACACTGGGAGTTCGGTTGTGGGTTTGCGTCTCGCTCGGACAGGCTGGCCATGTGGAGTTTTCCGGGTTTTCTCCATGATCTGTCACGCCTAAATAGGAGCCAGTTTCCCTTAAAAAGACCTCCTNCAATTCATAATATTGGATTGCACTTTGATTAAAGCACAATACAAATTTAACAAAAGTGCATATTATTGGATTTAAATCATAAATAAAACGTTAAACATTTTCCGGTTTTGTAAATTTATATAAGCAAAATCAATATCGTAGATTAGAATAAGATGTAATTTTCTTAGATAATTTTTTGGATTTTTATATTTATTCTATGGCCAATGTTCGAATAATTTTTATCGCCTAAAAATAGTTTTATCCCATTTTAATAAATAAAAATTGTTTTTCAAAAAATTTCGTAGCTAAAGAATTCTATGCTTCAATAATCCATAACAGTTTACACTTACCTATAAGTGCTAGCTGTCATGCAACCAGGCAATATTAATCAGTTTTTAAAGAAATTGGGCCGGAGGCCTCAAGACATTATACAGCTAAAGATATAGAAGAAAAATAGTAGTGAACAATGATGAGGCCGCTGAGAAGACGAGGCTCCAGGTTATGTCCGAAAATGTCAGTGTATATATATATACTGTATATTAACTCTGGGATAGATTGTCACAGTTTTTTAAAGTGTAAATAAATGGTGTTTGTAAAATCTGAAAACATTCATTTTTGATCTCAACAGTATTTGGATTATTAAAGTTTTCTTTGCACACATTTGTGAGCAGAAAAGATGCACAGGTGGCAATGAAAAAGCACTAATAGAAAATCATTGCATTGGCCATCTAACCGAAGCAGCATGGATGTCAGTGAGAAAGATATTTATGAATATATTGCATCTTGAGTGTTGTTCTAGATCACATCCAAAAGGACAGTCAAATGAGTTATGTAAAACTGTTTTCAGATTTGACAAACACCATTTATTTTACACTTTAAAAAACTATAGCTGTCTATCCCAGAATAATTATAAACAAATCAAAATATTTATCTTATTCTTATCAAGAAGAATTTCTTGGAACAAGTCTCAATATACAACTTTCATTACAGTTATACCACTTTTACTGACTAGTGTATTCAGACTTTCAGTGTTTATTTCAAAATCACAGTGCAATCCCAGCACAAACAATCTCTTCTTAATGGCCGTCTATCCCACAATTACTCTATATCAAAGAAGAAATGAATTCTAATCCTTCTTCTCCCTACATAAATATATACTCAAATACCATTTTGTTCTAAATTTCATATGTATTGTAAACCAGATGTACCATACATATTATAAGGTATTTGCCATTATGAAGGTAGGAACTATTCATTATAATGATTGACTACTAAATCCAGACTATTCCTTATGAGGATTCCATGTTATAATCAGAAATACTGTACATTAATGCTAAAACAGCTTCAGGAGTCTAACAAATTGTTTTTCTATTTTAGAATTAAATGTTTTTTGGGATACTATCTCTCATTGTCAGATTCTACCATTGCAGATTGGAACAAGTATTCTAGTAATATATACAAATCGTTTGGCTTTAATATAACTTATAAGGTTTAAAGTTGTTTGTATTTTTGTATTTATATACACCATGCCAGGGTAAAGGAGTAGCTTGCTGAGTGCTGTAGTGGGAGTTATAGATCAAGGGCACCTATTACCCTGAGTTATCCCCATTCACTGCTATTAGTAACCAGTATGGTTATATCTAAATTAATAGTTTTGGAAGTGAAAATTAGATGGAGGTCTGGGTAGCATAATGCAGCTGCATGCAAGTGGGAGTTGTGGTTTAGAGTCCTGCTCTGGACTGATTTTTTTCATCCAGAATCTTCTAGATTAATTAATAAAACTTAATTTAATTTTAAATAATAAATTTAGTAAGAGGTGGCACTTAATGCCTATCTCTAGGCCAAATTACTTATCATTCAATTATTAATAGTAGCAGTAATATAGCTTAATCTAATTTGGCAATTGTTTGGCTTTAATATAACTGTTGGTATTATAGTGGTTTATGGTTTATATTTGAAAATTTTTTTAGAAAAGCCAGAATACTTGTTTTAAAATATATTCTAGAATAAATAAATAAACATTTTTTTATGATAAATTATGTTAATCAGAAATAGGAACTGAAAATATTTTTCCTTGTAAAATGTTTTATTAAAAGTTGCTTCAGAATTAGAATATATATGAAACTAAATTGATTTATATCTGATAAGTCCCATAATCAAATTATTTCTTCTTATTTACCACATACATTTATTTTTCGTACTTTAATATAATTTTTGGATATTAAGTTATTTTATTTGAAATTGTTATTTTTATGATATAAATGTTGGCTTTAATTTTTATCTTTTGCTATCTGAAAAGTATTACTTTAAGAATAACTTTATTTTAAATTTCTGATTGTTTTTACAGCAACATATATTGGACCACATTCAGGCTGAAATTTCATTTTTGAATACTCGTCATCCTAACTTCAACTATAAACTGTAAATATTACATTCTTTTATTAATTATTATGGACTATCTCTCTATTATAATCATTACTGTTAATGCATATAAAAAATATAACTTAAATATCCTTCAAAATAGATCTGAAAAATTGTTTTTTTTACTTAAAATTTCAAAGAAATATTATATTGTTTAATGTATTTTTGTGAAAATTAAAATTAGAATAAACAAGTTCTTGTACAATTAGACTTCTCTTTTTCATTTTAAATTTCTGCATTAATTTCATTCTAAAGAGAGTCAAAACTTTCAAACTTTTGTTCATTTTGAATAGATGAAATGTCTTACATTTTGTCACATTACAAAGTACAACAAAGAATGTTTATTAGAGCTCAGAATGCTAACAGAATTTGTTTAATTTGACCAAATAATACAATTTTTCTGCAATTTCTCTTTACCTATTTCTTTGAATTTATACTGTAATTTCTAAATAAATAATTTTTGCAGTTCCTTTTAACATACTTTTATAGTATATTTATATAATAACCAAATTTTGATGTATCATCTTCTATTGATCTTCAGTAAGACATTTTTATTAGAATTTTTAATTATTGTTTGTTTCAAAAATGCTGATTTTAAGACTGAAATTCATAAAAATTGAAGGAGGACGANTGTTCCAATTAAACAGTCAAAAAGTAAAATAGTGAGTTAATTAAATTATAATAAACTTTGTAATTATCCTCTTTCTTTTTGACATGTTAAAATGTCTTGAAACTTGAAATGAAATTTTGTATTTTATTTGTAATTTACAACTTTTGACTAACTTAAATGTTTTTGAAATGTTCCAAAGTTATAAATTATTTACATAAAAATAATAATATTTTGGTGTTTACCACACCAAAATATTATCCAATTAAAGAAAAAAATAACTACTGTCTATCAGTGTTAAACAGTATTTATTATAACATCATCACAAGCACTTTCAACATTTTATCAATGTTGTCTTCAAGTGAAGAAAAGAACATGACTTTGGAACATTAGGATCAATTTTCAAGAAACACAATATTAAATATTCAAAAAAATGGAATATAAATTTTCAAAGTTAAATTTAAACCTACTTAGGCACAAAAATGGCATGCACATAGAAAGATATTAGTACAAAATAACAATAAAATTAGATAATATAACAAGATAAACATTTACTTGCCATTAGTAAATTTAGAATTACAACCAGTAGGTAATACTATGGTGACATAAATATTAAAAATCCAAACTTTTAAAAACTGATTACCCAAATTCTTGGGAGATCTAGCCTAGATTTATTACAAGGTTCCAATCTTCCAATAAATAATGCCTCCCAAATAAAAGTAACTTTTTGTCAACACATTATATTAGTAGAAGTGAAGTCTCATTTCATATAGGCACACAATTTCTTCCATCATACTCCTAGAAAGTTCTTTAGTGCTCCTAGAAAGTTATGGATATCGTTCTGCTGTTCAGTAAGATGGATTTGTAATTTTCTTGTCATGATGTAAGAAATTCTTGCATTGCTATCCAGCTGTTGTAATGGAACTAAATAAATTCCTGATTTTTCTAGTGTTGGATAATACATCTCGGTTGTTGCAGAGGAGTCTGCATAAATTTATTCGAGATTTAATTGGAAGAATAAGCCACATTTTTTGAAAATTTTGGCACAATTTATCCTAACGTTCCAAAGTACCATGCTTTTCTTCACCTGAAGATGATATTGGTAAAATGCTTGCAATGATATTATAACAAAAACTGTTTAACGTTGATAAACAGTAGTTATCTCTTTCTTTAATTAAATTATTTGCATTATTAAAAAAAATAATAATAATAAAATAAACTAAAAAAGGAATTCAATAAACATCATTAGCTTCCAGCGATATATTTCATCAGACATTTCTCTGGAAGATGGCAACATTCATAAAATAGGTATTTCTATGGAAGATGACTTTATTATTTTATTAGTATGAAAAAGCAAATAATCAAAAAAAGTGAAAAGAAGGCTTATTTTGGAAAATTGGAGTCATAAAACCAAAACAAAATGTTTTTTATTGCAAAAATTTATGGAGTGTTTTAATCTAATTAATTTTAAATTCATTTATTATAAAAAAAATTAAATATCAATTTTTTTACAGAAACTTTCAACTCTGGGAAAACACGATAAAGAAGAAAGAGAATATGTAGATGTTGAGGAAACAAAATCTCAAATATCACAGTATTTAACTTCTCAAGATAATTATGAAGATGAACAAATCACTAAATTGGGTGAATTAGTCTATTGTTATCTGCAAATTGTAGATATAAACGTTGAAGATATGTTACTGAAATATATTGTGTGTTTTTTAATTAAGAAGGTAAACTTTACTATTATTATCATTTTAAATTAAATTAATTACTAATTTGTTAATGACAACAATTTTTTTGTTAGATTATTTGAAAGTTTATTATATAATTTTATATAATTGTATGATATCTAATTTACAGAAACATTTCAATAAAATTCAGTTATTCTGTTTTGTTTTTTATTTTCTTAAACATATTATCCCTCTGTATTATATTAATATCTGACATATTAAGTTAAAGTATAACTACTTTAAAAAATATTTAATATCTGTGTTCTAGAACTTTCAAGCTAGCAATACTTATTTTTCGGAATGATACAATATGGTTGGCTAGGCTTGGAATAGTTTTTGTATTTTTAAATTATTTTCTTGTGTAAACAGACATGTTTTTTTCTATTATAATATTCCCAAAGACAAGCACAATTTACTCAAAGGTGCTAGAATGCAAATTTTCAAGCTCTTTAAACTCCAAAACTAACAAGTATATTTTAGTCCTTGTATAATTTAAATTCATTTGCACTTTGGATTTAATTAGTTTACACTTTATATTCTGGAAATATAATCATTCAGAATGGATAAATGTAATTGAATATTGTACACTATACTGGTTACTTAATATTTGTTATAATATTTTGATTGTTTTTTTTTACTATTTTTTGATATATTACTTTAGAAAATGTAATTTTTTTTTATATTGCTATAACTATGAAAGATGATCCTAAATATTTAATATTTAACCAAAATTATTGTTTATAAATAAGATTGCGTGAAGTTATAATTATAATTCTCAAAAGAATAAACATGATAAATTTTTTAAAAGTATATTTAAATTTTTAATAATAATATATGAAGAATAAAAACCAACAAAATATATTTAATAACATAATTTTAAGCAATCAAGTTGCATAATTATGTAAATATAAAAGAAACAATATATTAAAATAAAAGTTACTTATGCTTGCATTCTGAAACTATTTCTTCATTGTTTTTTATTCAACTTACATAATTACCATCATTACATTTATAATAGTCTGCATGGTACAAAATCCTTACCATAAGTGCATTTGAGTGTTAAATGATACATAAAAGAACATATCAAGAGAGATGATTGGATCAATTTGCCATTGAGAAGATCAATTCTTATTCCTATACACTTCTAATGAACTCATTGCTGGATTTCAATAATTAAAATTTTTAAACAATTTAAATTTTAGAATATAAGTTATTGACGAGACTATATCTCATCAACAACTTATTGATTTTAGAGACGAGACTATGTCTCGTTTCTAAAATCATGCTGTTGTCAATGGCTGCACACCTTAGAGGTATGAAGGAGTACATGTCAGGAGTTTGCAATTTGGCACAGAATATTTGGTGCCCAAATCATGCACACATAAAATAAACCAGACTTGTAGGTAGTCGGGATTGAGAACCAGATCAAAAGAAAATACGAAATGCTGAGACTGTTCATACAAACAGGCAGAAATGCAAGATTTGCACATGCGTTGCTTGTACTCTCTGAGACATAGTCTTGTCCCAAAAATGGCTTTGCCATTTTACTTGTTTAAATTAATTATAGCAAATAAAGATAATCATACAATTATAATAAAAATAATAGTATTAAAACTATATTTCAAAAAATGTTTTGCTTATTCAAATACAGTATCACTAACTTATTTTGAGTTATTTTAAAGCTATAAATTTATTAATTTTACTATAAAATTTGAACTAGAGTTAAGCAATATTGCTATCTCATTAATTATGAATTTAAATAATAATTTTTAAAGTAAAAGGATAGAAGTAGAATAGATTCAAATTCAACTCCCAATTAATTTACTTGATTAATTAATTAACTAACTAGAAATTTGTTTCCAGTCCATTAATTACGTCATTTCGGATTTAGTTTCTGACATGGCTTCAACTCCAAATCCTGTAAGTTTTAAGAAGTTTNATAAAACAAGAGATTGAGGAATGGGGAAAAGAAACTTAAAGTAAAAGGATTGTCCATTAATAGATTGAGGAATGGGGAAAAGAAACTTAAAGTAAAAGGATTGTCCATTAATTAAGTGTACAATTTTTGAGTCACTTTTGATCCCTTTCCTCCATGTACAGTACAATGGCAGTACTTTTGACGAGCAACCCTCACACCACACATAATGGACAGCTCCAAATGCTTAAGTTTGAGGATAATTCAGTGCCAAAAGACCTCAAGTTTTTACATTGTTATTATTACATTACTATATTATTTTGGCAGATTTTTACTGCAAAAAGAAATGTGGAAAATAATCATTTTTTTATTGTCTCAAAATTTATACACTACAATTCAATTCATAATATTGGATTGCACTTTGATTAAAGCACAATACAAATTTAACAAAAGTGCATATTATTGGATTTAAATCATAAATAAAACGTTAAACATTTTCCGGTTTTGTAAATTTATATAAGCAAAATCAATATCGTAGATTAGAATAAGATGTAATTTTCTTAGATAATTTTTTGGATTTTTATATTTATTCTATGGCCAATGTTCGAATAATTTTTATCGCCTAAAAATAGTTTTATCCCATTTTAATAAATAAAAATTGTTTTTCAAAAAATTTCGTAGCTAAAGAATTCTATGCTTCAATAATCCATAACAGTTTACACTTACCTATAAGTGCTAGCTGTCATGCAACCAGGCAATATTAATCAGTTTTTAAAGAAATTGGGCCGGAGGCCTCAAGACATTATACAGCTAAAGATATAGAAGAAAAATAGTAGTGAACAATGATGAGGCCGCTGAGAAGACGAGGCTCCAGGTTATGTCCGAAAATGTCAGTGTGTTAATGCGGCCCTGTCAGCAATATATTTGAAGTAATCATGTATAGTACATATTCACCCAATCTAGAGTTTATAATCAGCAGAAAATTATATTATTGTATCAGTAAAACTTAGACGCAGTTATTTTTGATAGAATGAAAAAATTTAGGGGATAAGCACCAGTCACTTTTGTAGAAAATACTACATCGCATGGTAACAATAACCCGATAATTAGTGATTATTAAAAACAAGGAAATCTACAAGATGAACTCAAGATATGATTTGACAATATTTATATAAAATTGTATTATTCACATTAAAAATGTAATTAAGATTTGTATCAGTTATGTCCTAAAGATGTAAGAGAAAGTTGCTCAGCAATCCCGCTCAATGATCTGGAAACACAATGGAATTGCGAATATGTGATTGATGTGGCCAGCTAGCAAATGTCATCATAAGTATAGTCAAATAATTATAAATGTGACTATTATTCCATGTAAATCTTCATGTGAAATAATGAGTACCGCCCAGCCATTAAGTGTGTACCATGTTGGATATTCTGGATATTCTCGCTCGATGGATAGCATTGAAAATTGATTAATACCATTACTTTACATGCAAGTTATATTTAAAAAGTTCTTTACAATTTGGTATTATTTAAACTTATATTTTACTAATAAAGCTTTGATGTTTGTATAAATTTGTGTGTGTTATATTAGTTTTTCTTAAGGACGTGGCATTACCCTACTTTCCCCTATAACATCTCAAAAATATAATAGATGATATAATTTATATAACTTACAATAATCTCTCGTTACAACGCACTTATATCTTGCTTTTATTAGTTTTATTTTATAACCAGGGGATACTGCGTATCTTTGTGATGACGTACAGTACAAAATGCGATCGACAAGGGCAGGCTGATACCTAAGTTCTCTCCCTGACCTACTTCACAGTATATTTAGAGGAAACGGATAATGCGACACTGTCGAAAAAATCTTTGTTAATGTCCTTACCGAAAATGAACGGTAGCTTTCGTATCGTTTTGTGCAGGCAAAATTTCAAAATGGTGGAAACAATGTCCGATTCAACAAAACGGAGTTTCGAACCATCATTAAATTTTTGCCAGGTCATGAAAAACATAAAACGATGATTATCTCAGCTGTTTCTGTCATTAAAAAGTGTTTGGAGAAGACTTTCTCGTTTAAGATGCAGACCAGGAATGGAGATAAATTTACACCGGAATCATCAATGCTACCAGCTAATTTTTGAACACTGCCGAATTTTATTTGAATGTGTAGCTGAATGTTTGCAGATGTTCGAACAACAGCTTGGATACATTGTCTACAAAGTATTGGGAATAATGAAGTCTGCGAAATTGATTCCAAAATCCTTTATCGCTGATCAGAAACGTAAACGAGTAGACCGATTTGTAGCAATGAATGAAACCTTGTACGATTCGGAAACAAAGCAGCAGTCCATAGAGTTGAGACATGAGCTTTCCGCATGAATCTCTTGATTATGCACAACAGTTCTATCAAGAAGGTTCTGGCGTCAGTTTTCTAGAATAGTGGCTGTATTGTTATACCGATTACTTTACCAAGAACCAGACCATCAAGGCGGATTATTACACGTCGTTACTGGTGCAGCTGAAAGAGAAATTGAAGAAAAATAACGCGGAAAGTTCTCTATAGGCATCCTTTTCTTGCGTGACAACGCTCAAGCATATACTTTCCAGAAACAATGACCGAACTGAGCGAACTGAAGTTCGAATGGGTCCAACATTCACTCTATTCCCCGACTTAGCTCTCGCGGATTACTATCTCTTTCTTATCTGAATAAACCTGAAAGGAAGACATTTTACCGACACTAGTGGCATCATAGAGACTACGGAGGGCTAGTTGGAGGACCAAAGTTCTAAATTTTATTAATGGAATAAAATTATTATTTAATACATTATTCCTACATATTATACAATTGCTATACATATTATTAAATTCTCAGGGAATTGAATAATATGTATTGGTTATTCATATGCAATGTTTTGCTTCTATGTTAGATCGAGAACTTATCAGCCTATCTACATAATTGTCATTTATTTTATAAATTTATGCAACCCTTCTGCAGTTAAGAAGACTGTAATTATAGGAAGCGATGAATTCACTTTATAATAATAATAAACGTAATTCAAAATACTGTGAAAGTTTGACAGATAATACATATGATGTGATTTTTAAAATATCTCGCAAACCCTTAATGTGTATGGTTTACTTTTATATCTTGAGTATATGGATCAACAAGAGTAAATGCTCTTGTACAATTCATTTCAATAGGAGCATTTCTCATACTTTATGAAATAGTTTTATTAATGGGAAGTCGTAGCTAGACTCTACTAAAAATTTTAACTTAAATATGTTTTAAAGCATATTTTGTCGTATTTTTAACTCTAGCAAATGGAAAACTTTTGCATATTTACAGTGATATTCTTTGTTTACAAAATTTTTTAAGCTATTGTTAATATTGGGCTGCAATTTGAAAAAATATTGTAGGCCTATAAATTCCCACTGTAATTCCGTAATCACGAGAACGGAGTAGATAGATGGAAAACGAGACCAGATATGGAAACCTTAGGAATAGGAGATTCCGATTAATTATATACGAACTTCTGATGTAAACCAGAAGTTAGGTTATTTCAATTCAAAAATCTTTCCCTGAAAGCAGTTAATAGATGACCGGCACGACTCTATTGTTAAAGGAAAAGTATGATGTACAGGGGCAAGCCACTACTGATTTGAGGTGGAGAGCATATATTTTGAATTAAATTTAAAATATGATTAAAAATTGCAGCCCGGCATTGTGAGGATGTCAGAAATAATTGCTCGAATATATATTAAGAACCAAAACTTTTAAAATATGTTTTATTCAAATATAAAACGCAAAAAATCATTCTTAAAACTTTCGAAAAAAAATTTGTGGAACTTATATACCAAATAAATAACATTAAAATCATTTAATATACAGTAGAATTATGTCGATGTTAATTAATATTTTTGGTGTAATTTTATTCGAATGCAAGTAAAATTAAATTTGCCATCCTTTGGCTGTCTTTGTGGGTGATTTATTGTCGTTAAAACAACGATTATTGATTCAAAAGTTACAACACCGCATTCAAAGAATCTAATACATAAGTTGCTAGTAAATTATAAATCTTCCAAAAGAAAGTTCTTAATTGAATAATTTATTTAAAGCATTTAAATTTTATTTTGCCTTTTTTCTGCTTCCTGAAGAAAGTTTTAACAACAAAAATTTCTTCTTTTGGGGGTAATTTTACACCAAGTTTTTCTAGAAATTTAATTTTTGCTGTATCTATTTCGTCTTCTTCACTCGCAATAGCAATTAAACAGGTTACTGTTATCGTTAAATCTCCTTTTTGTTTCTGTTGAAATAAGATCTTGCATTTGATAATCGAGTCTTCAAATGTCGACTTTCATTTTGGTCTACTTCCTCACATCTCATATTTTTTTTCTGTAATAAAGTAATATTTTGAGTTTCTTGTTGGGCTATTTATCTGTATCAAAATATTTATTATACAGTACTTAATATTTCCTCAAAAACTTGATCGGATATACTTTTCTTCAATATTTCCTCCAGGGATTTTAACTTTAAGCGTGGCTTCAAGATCAGATTCTTGCGACTGCAAAATTTTATCCGCAGGTATTATTATTTCTAGAATTGTTTTTAAGAAAATCAAGCGAAAATAAATATCTTAATTTTTAACAGTAATCAAAATCCGGTGACTTCTATTATACATTCGCCGTTTATTTATATATTTCTTTAAATCCATTTGTATCTTCTCCGGAGCATTAAATATATTTTTTTTTTTTTTTTGTCATATTTAAATGTCACTCCGTCTTTAATCTAAGATCCCACATAGTGTTTAATCGTTATGCATTTTTCCCAACTGTTTCTCTTTTTAGAAACGCGTGCAACTTATTTTTCGAAGAATTATTAGACCAATCTGTCTGAATGGGAATTTCCACCAACCAACAAAAGTACTTAAAGCGTGTAAATATTTCAAAGCAAAAAATTCAAATTTAGTAAAAATTAGATGAAAAAGTGCAAGTCGTGGTTCGGACCCAGAATAGGGTCAGCTCCCACGGTTGGCA